AAGTATTCAAAATGGCTTTTGTTTCCTAGTTGAAGCCTGACTAATGCTGTGACCTTTGGCAAGTGCTTGCTGTATGCCTGTTTAATCTATAAAACAAAAGTATTAACACTACACTTACTGGTATTTTTATAAGGATAAGTAAGTATTTTTAGAATGCTTAAAGCAATATAAAGCAAGCACTGTCTTTGCTAAATAAGTATGTGTGGTCTTGGGCAGTTTATAAAATCTGAAGTCTCTCATACATTTATCACTCTGCCCTCATCTGCCCTGTCATTACTGCTGGCCGCTATTCGTCCTGTGTGCTGTTAGGCCTCTGCCTTCAACGTTGCCCTCCTAAGTGAGCACATGTACTTTCCAGAGTCTCCTCACATGCTTTAGACATAAAATAGATTTTTTAGAGGCCTTGTAGGTTCATGTGTTCTTATGAAGTTCTGTACTTGGGCATGCTGTCATGGTGGTTATGAAATATAGGAGGTAGTTCTGGTATTGGGAGATACTTAGGTTATATTAGACTCTGAATATGAATCCGAAATCTTCCATGTACTACATCAGGGGACCTCATGTAGAAGAAGGTACTTTTGGCTAAATGTTGCCCATCACTTAAAATTTGTATGGAATTATCTTACTAGCTTTTGTTCTTGAATTCTGAGACTTTTTGTTTCTTTGGTCATGCTGGGAATTCAATCTAGGGTCTCATGCATGCAAGGCAAGCACTATAGCACTGAGCTATATCCCTAGCCCCAAACTTGCTTTTTGGTATTATATTTATCAATTTTTGATTCTATGATTACAGTTATTCTATTTCTAAGAATACTGAGCTCCAACACTCCAAAGAACAAATAAATGTGGGAATGAGACAGGCCTAGACTTTACTAAGTAGAATTCTATGGTGTCTTAGGGTTGGATTATTGTCTAGAAAATTGCTTATAGGAATTCCTAGAATGACTTAGATGCTTTCAACAAAGGTCATTTATTTAAATTTTTACTGCTCTTTAAAATTTAGGCAAATCCCACTAGACACAGAATATTTATTATTAATTTTGGGACAGGGTCTGGTTACATATTCCAGGCAGGCTAGCTGGAACTCACTATGTAGCCCAGACTGGGATTATATAGCACTTGGACTGTAAGGCAAGTGCCATCGTGTCCCAGCCTTTATTATTAGTCTAATCTTCAGCTATGCCTAAATAAATGCATTTTTACTCTGTATGGATTTCTAGGACAACTTGAAAAGTACATCTGAAAATTTCATAGTTTATGAATATGTTTCTAAATACAACTAAAATAAGTAGAGTCATACAGCCTTGATATTTACAAGGGTTTTAATGCCAGAATTTCTGATTTTAACTAATCAGACTTAAAAGTATCTTTGGCTTGACATAGATCAGCATAGTATTAATATGTCACAAGTTTTATTTTAACTAGAAACATCTATAAAGAGTAGATAAAAGTTCCATTGGGGGTTGAAGAGAGGACTCAGGGGTGAAAGTACTTGCCACATAAACAAGGAATCCCCAGAACCCACATATTTTGGGTGTTGTAGCCCATGTCTGTAATCTCAGTGCTCTTGTGGTGAGATGGGAATTGGTGACAGGAAAATCTCTGGAAGCTCATGGGCCAGCTAGCCTGGTGTACACAGTGCCAAGCAAAAGAGCGATCAAGACCTCAAAGTGAAAGACAGGACTGACACTATGATTGCCCTCTGGCATCTACACACTTGCTGTGGCAAGGGTATAGGCCCAGAGACAGGCACGCACAGACACAGACACACACACAGACACACAGACACACACACACAAAATTATCTAAAAAAATATTTGCAGAATTATTTTCCTATTATATGAAAGCAAGATGTTCAGCTGAATATAGGTCATATGAGTAATTCTTCTCCAATTCAAGAGCCTCCAGCACTCTTGTTTCTTTTGAAAATAGATGTTGTATTCATTTCCTTTCAAAGAATCGAAATATTTTCATCCTGTATTCTGCAGCTCACAGTAAAATTGAACGTGTTCTTGACTATTTTGAATGCAGTGCTCTATGAGAAGAAAAACAGGCATTGGCTTTCTAACAAACGGCTTCATTAATATATAATTTACATCTAAATTTCGTCCATTGTAAGTGTATAGTTCAGTTACTTTTAGATTTAATCTTTTGTTTTCTTGGATTGACTGTCTTTTTTCTTCCCTCTGGTTCCTAAGATTTTTCTGTCTTTAGTGTTTAACACTTGTATGATGATGTGCTCAAAATGTATTTTCTATGCTATCAGAGAGGATCTGACCATTGCTATGTGTGTTACCTCCCTGTCAACATGACAGAAGACTTAGAAAGGAAGAAAAGTCTTCAGTTCAGTGTCAGAGCTTCCATTCCCTGGTCTGCTGTGCTTTGGGCTGGAGATGAAGCAGAGTATCAAAGCAGCAGGAACGTGTGAGAGGCCATTTCCTTCCTAATCACAAGCTAGAGAGACCAGAAGGAGCAAAGAAAGGATAAATCCTGCAAGACCACACCCTCCCGTGACTTACTTCCAACTAGGCCCCTCATCTTACCATCCCTACTACCTCCCAATTGTCCATTCAGTTATGAATCTAGTAATGGATGAATCAGTTGACATCAGAGTCCTCATGATCGTTACTTCCCCCAAATGCTCCCTCTGCACATTGATGGATTGAGCAGCAAGGGTTTAACATCCCAGAATTTGGAGGACATTTCAGATCCACACCATAGCACTGCACTGGGCAGAATCACTCCCTCTAATAAGAGGAAGGATAGAGTGGTACTTATCACAGTCTAATGAGAGATCGAGCTATGTCCAGACTCATTTTTTCTTAACTTGCATTTACTGCTGTGGACCAATGGGATGGCTCAGGAGGTACAGGCTCTTACTGTACCTGATAACCTAAGTTTGATCCCCAGGACTCACATAGGGTGGAAGGAGAGAACTGACTCCCACAAGGTCATATGTGCTTTGGCATGTGCACACCTACCCACATAAGTATATACACACAAAAAGAAAAAAAAAATATATATATTTGAGACAGGGTCTCCTTATAGCCCCAGTTGGCCTGGAACTCCTGCTATGTAGACCAGGCTAGCTTGAACTGACAGAGATCCACCTGTCTCTGCCTCCCAAGTGCTGGGATTAAAGGGCTTGCCCAGCTAAAAAAATAAATATAATTGAATTATATCAGTAGTTTGAATTTCTGCAGTACACAGTTCAGCCTCAGCATAAGTGATCTACCCACAACTGAATATGCATTTGTGATAATACTTTGATATGCTTATCTTTTCTCTCTTGCTGCCTTTAAAACAACTTGAAACATAGGTAAGTTCCAGGGGCTGGAGTGATACTCAGTGGTTAAGAGCACTGGCTGCTCTTGCAAAGGACCCAGGTACGATTCCCAGCACCCATATGGTGACTAACCTCTGTAACTCCAGTTCCAGGGGATCTCAAAGCCCTCTTCTGACAGACATGGGTGCACTTACATACATGCATGCAATACACTCATACACATAAAAACAAACAAACAAAACCTCTCCTAGAAATCCTAAATGTTCTAAACCACAAGTCCTTTAAAAATCCTTTTTCAGTGAAGAACATAAACATTTCCTTTCATTTTCCATTAGAAAGATGAATTGCTTTAATAAATATGGGGAATTACTTTGAAAACATGAAATTGGGCCGGTGAGAAGGATCAGCAAGGTTAAGGAATTTACCACCAAATTTAATGACCAGCGTTCCAGACTTCAGGCCCCACTTGGAAGGAGAGAACTGCTGTAAGCTGTCCTCTGACCTCAACATGCATACCCTCACCCCACGTACACACACTGCGAATAAATGTAATACATTAAAAAATACATAAAATTAATGCATTTTTGAAAAAACACGGCTTTAAAACTGCTTTAGACATAGATACCATTCTATTTTCCCATTTGCAACTATTAAGTCTAGAAATCCAAAGAGAAAGGCCTGTTTCGCATTGCCTTTTTATGGGACATTAGCTTTTGATAGTCCTGATAGAATGTCTAATAATTCATAGTATTTTAAGCTAGCCCTCTTTTGTTTTATTCTATTCGGAATTACAACTAAGACTGGGTTTTTCTCTACCGGGTTCTGTGTGTGTGCGCTGGGAGGCGGTAAGGAAACTTGGGGGCGCAAGCGGGGATCCCCCGCAGCCTGCTGGGGTGCGTGGAACGAACCCACTGCTCTTATGCGGGTCTCAATTGCGGACGCTTGGCAACCCGGCGCCGGGACAGGGACTGCGGAGTGGAGGCGGGGCCGGTACCGCAGGCCGGGCTTACAGGGTACCAGCGCCGCCGAGGCCGCACCAGCCGGGCGGGAATCCCCCAGCCGGGAAAAGGACGCGAGCCAGGGCGGTGCGGGAAAGGCCCGGGCGCGACACACCGCACTGCCGTCCCTACAGCTCGGGGTCCGCCTTCCTTCACCTCAACCGGGTACGTCACAGAAGTCGCTGCGCACCGCACGCTCCCGTCTCTAACCATTTATTAATCTAAGGTACGGCCGCGCTCTCTAGCTCCCGAGAGGCCGCGCTGCAGGCTCGGCCTGGGTGACAGGTTCTAAGTAGTGGCTGCCCGAGGCGACCTGACAGACTTCTTTCGTCACCTCAGGGCCTGCAGAAACAGCCGCCATTACTTCAGTCTGAAAAAAACAAGCGCTAGTTGCCCGGGTTCATATTTTTAAATCTGGCGGGGCAGGTCCTCTTGGGCCAACCACGCCCCCAGTTTACATTCTTAGCCAATCAGTGTCTGGCCCGCCATTTTTCAAACGCTTTTTATACCGCCAATCAAGACAGAGCAGTACATTCCTCTTCAGACCGGTTCCAACGGGTCTGGGAGTTAACGACCTGGGAGACCCACCGAACTTGCTAGGCTGCGGCTAGAGGGAGGGGCTTGGCGAGACTCCGACCAATCAGAAGTCGTCTACGTGAAGGGGCGGGGACTCTCCTTGTTTGAATACTCGTCAGAGCCAATCAGAGAGGTGGAGGTGTGGCCTGTGTCTGGGCTCGTCAAGTTGAGGTGGCGAGGAGAGGTCTGCAAAACAAGAGGCTGAGGGTTGCGTTAGCGGTAAACCAGTTCTCGCCGGAGCTTAGGGAAGGAAGTAACTTGGTTAGGCCCTGAGGGAAAAGCTTGCGCCGGGTAAGAAGCAGCTCCCCGGAGGTTGGCAGGAGGCCTGCTCTTCCCGCGTACCGGGGAACTTCTGTCGGGTGCCGACGCGGAGGCTCCCGGGGTTCCCCCCGGCGGGCAGAATTTGGGGTGCAGGCCAGAGAGGGCCGGAGCTGCGGAGGGCGGGCGGGAAGTCCCGGGACCGGCCGCAATTTGAGTTTTAATGGAAGGTGCGGCGAGTGGCGGCAGGCGCGCGACCTGGAAGCGGCGGGGCTTTTCTGTCAGCGAGGGTTTGGAGGGCGCACGGACGGCGGCGTCTCTCCGAGTCCGGAGCAGCGGTGGGTCGGCCGGGCGGGGCGGCGCGCGCCGGGAGGAGGGCACGGAGCGCGTTTGGGCGGGAAGCCGAGGGTCTGGGCCACGCCGACCGCCTTTCTCCGTCAGGTGGACGCCGCGCCGTCAGCATGGGCAAAGGAGACCCCAACAAGCCGCGGGGCAAGATGTCCTCCTACGCCTTCTTCGTGCAGACCTGCCGCGAGGAGCACAAGAAGAAGCACCCCGACTCCTCGGTCAACTTCGCCGAGTTCTCCAAGAAGTGCTCGGAGAGATGGAAGGTGAGCGGCCGGGGAGCTCGGGGCCGGCTTCGGGGGGGGGCTCGGGGCCGGGGTGGAGACCTCGCTCTGATCTGTGAGCTTGAGACCCACCCGGGCTTTAAAGAGGGCGCCAGACGCGCGGCCTGGGCATGGGGCGCTTCTGTTTGGATCTTGGTGTTTTGACCCATTTTCTGCCCGCAGACCATGTCCGCCAAGGAGAAGTCGAAGTTTGAAGACATGGCCAAAAGTGACAAAGCTCGTTATGACAGGGAGATGAAGAATTACGTTCCGCCCAAAGGGGATAAAAAAGGGAAGAAGAAAGACCCGAATGCACCCAAAAGACCACCGTAAGTTCCTGTAAAGCGGCCCAAGCTGCCTCCAGCCGGCGTTTTCCTTGTTTATTAACCCTCCCGCTTCCTCCCAGGTCTGCCTTCTTCCTGTTTTGCTCTGAGCATCGCCCAAAGATCAAAAGTGAGCACCCCGGCCTGTCTATCGGAGACACTGCCAAAAAGTTGGGTGAAATGTGGTCTGAACAGTCAGCCAAAGATAAACAGCCGTATGAGCAGAAAGCCGCCAAGCTGAAGGAGAAGTACGAGAAGGTGGGTTGCTTGCTCGCCCTGACGTGTTAGGTTCCGGCTGTAGAAAGTTGGGGGGGGTTGGGTAATTAGCTTGGTTTCTGAAAAAGCCTAATGAAACTTGTGTATTAGTAGCACTGAGTAGTTAGGACCTTTCTTTTGATTGAGATGAGTGTAGCCTTCATGAATTCCTGTGTGCACTAATTATTTCTGTGAGTCTTAGGGTGGAGTGCCAAATACGTTGTTTTATGCAGATGTGTCTAAAAATGTAAAGTTGGAAGATAATGCGAGGTAACTGGTATTGTCAGTGAAAGTAGTAACACTGATCTAAGGAGACTACTGTCATTACGTTTAAATCCTAAAGAGCACAAATAGACCAGAGGTAGACCACATAACCTTTTTAAGGTTAGGGTTACTGGTCAACTTGTGGATGTTTACAGTCAAGTGTGCTTTTTCACACTTGGGTGATGACACCGGATGCCGATCTTATTCTGTTAATATTTCAGGATATTGCTGCCTACCGTGCCAAGGGCAAAAGTGAAGCAGGAAAGAAGGGCCCTGGTAGGCCAACAGGCTCAAAGAAGAAGAATGAACCAGAGGATGAGGAAGAAGAGGAGGAGGAGGAGGAAGATGAAGATGAGGAAGAAGAGGAGGAGGATGAAGAATAAACAGCTGTCCTGTAATATGTGTGGGGTGTGTGTGCTCAGGCAATTGTTTTGCTAAGAATGTGAAATTCAAGTGCAGCTCAACATTAGCATCAGTATAAAAAATGTACAGATTTTTGTATAGCTGATGAGATTCTTTGTAGAGAAAATACTTTTTTAAAAATACAGGTTGTAGCTTTTTTGACGGGCTACTACATAGTTAGATTTTAAAGCTTTTGATGTTGAATGTTCCTAAATATTTAATGGTTTCTTTAATTTCTTTAGGTAGCACAGCAAACTTCATAGGAATTTGTATTACTAGTAAATTTTGGGTTTTTTAGGATGTTGCATTTTTTTTGTTTTTTAAAAAAAATTTGTAATAAAATTATGTATATTATTTGTATTGTGTTTGTCTTAATATACTAAACTTTCCCTTAAACATGGATTGCAGCCATACCAGTTTTTCTTTACACATTGTTTTGTATTTTAACATTTTTGTAGATTTATTAGCTAACTTGTCCCTCTGATTTTTTTTGGGGGGGGGGCGGATTTTGTGATCACAGGCTGGGGCATTATTAGTAACAATGTTTAAAGTTAGTGACATTGACTCAATTACCAGAGCAAATAGACTTAAGACTTCCAAACAGTTCAAGATTGTGCTACTTACAGTTTGATTATACATTTAAATTTGAGGTTTTTGTTTATCATAACATGAAACCTAGTTTTCAGGTATTCAGTGATTTAGTATGCTAAAACATTCTGGATAAAGTACTGATACCCACATGCGAGGGTTAAACATCTTGGAAGCAGAGGAAGAGGTAACATGAATCTGAAAAGCCCTGAAATGATACGAAATAGGTTCTATCTCCAACCCCCCACTACTTGCAGGTATGTTTGTGAAAACACTGAAAGTAGGTGGGATCAGGTTGGGTGTGGTGGCATGTACTTGAAAACCTATTGCTTGGGAGATAGGAGGAGAAAGTTAAAGGCCTGCCTGGGCTATGTATATCAGAAGACCCTGTCTAGAAAGTAGTTAAACACTCATTCTTTTATGGTACAACATAAAATCCCTCCTCAGCTTGAGACAACTGATGACCCTAGTGAGCCAAGGAAGACATGAACATGTTGGTATTAATAGAAAAGCTATGATTATCCATTTTTGTGGTTTCATGTGTGAGACTTAAAGGGATGTAGCTGGACCAAAAGTCATGGCTATTAAACTTAGGTTAACCCAAACGTACTGTTTCTGGCAGTGCTGGGATTGAACTAAGGACTTTGTGCATGCTAGGCAAATGCCATACCATTTTGTGCCAATATCCACAGCTTTTTTTGGTATTTTTGAGACTGTCTCCCTGCAGCCCCAGCTGGCCTGGAACTAGCTATGTAGACCAGGATGGCCTTGAACTCAGAGCTCTGCCTGCCTCTGCCTCCCAAGTGCCTGTAACTCCAGTTCCTGAGGATTTGTCATGCTCTTCTAGCTTCTGCAGGCAACAGGCACATACATGGTACACACATATGCAGGCAAAACACTTACATGAAGTCATGTCTTGAGATGATTTGCTCTACACAGAAAAGTCCTATGGTCTATTTCTAATTTTGTTTTGCTAGACTTCTGTTGGTTTCTTCCTATTGGCTTGATTTGTCAGGTTGTGAAGAACTTTTTGTTGTTTTTTGACAGGGTCTTCCTAGTCCCAGTCGGCTGGAAGTCACTTATGTCTGTGTGGACCAGGCTGATCTTGATCTCACAGAGATCTGCCTGCCTCTGCCTCTTGATACCTGGGGTTAAAGACGTGAGCCACCATGCCCAAGTGGTTGTGAAGAATTTTAAGTATATTTTTTTTTCAGTAGGCAATTTTATAGAATGCACTGCCAGTAAAGATACCTGTATTTGTATAGATGGCTTATGTGGCTTAAGAAAATTTAAGCAACCTGAAGTGTTGTAAAAAGAAATGGTCATGTTTCTATTTTACAGACAACTAAGTGCTGACCATCTTAAACACACAGAATTCTTAACAATACTCAACCAGTAGCTGGTTTGTAATATTTCAGTTATTAACCCTGTACCCTATAAATAAAAATAATTTTTTAAATGTGCAATTAGATAAATGATTACAAGTAGTGAGAAGGCTATGGATTAAAATACAATTATTTTATTTTTTCTCACCTAAAAAACAAGCAACCCAGAATTAAGATATACATAGGCCTCTCAAATTTACCTTAATAAAATTTTGAATATTTGTACAATTTCTACAGAAACATACAGTGTATCAAAATCTGCATAAATCAAATTTATAAAATGTGTAGAAATGCATAGTGATATTAACTTACAAAGCAAGGATATGGGAATTATTTCTAGAGCAGCCTACAGTAGAAAACAGTCATTATGGCAGCAGCTTCTGACGGTTTTCATGTTTGGTAAGGTTTCTGATTTCAATATACAGAATCATGTTCACACAGCATCTTTTAATGAATTGCACAGAACAACCATTTAATTTGCCCACAAAATTACATGCACACATCATGTGCCACCTTTCTTAGCCTATGCATAGATAACAAGGTTATAATCTAGTCAACATGGAAAGGGTATCTTGCAAACACACTACCTATTCTCTTAGTTTCTTTTTTATAATTGACTTATTTGCAATTATATAAGGATATAAATGCATTTCTTTTAAAATATTCCTAGAGATGAATCAAAGTTAAAATAGTTGATCACAGATCAATAGCAAAGTACAAATTGATTAGCAAAACTCAGTTCAGGATGTTTAATTTCTACTGTCCAAACTGAAGAACTAAGCTGACAAGAAACATATCTGTAGGCTTTTTTAAAAATGCAGGTACTTTTTATTTTTCTTTTTAAAGCTTTAGTTAAAAATAATTCCTTCTGGCAGTAGTTTGTGAACTTCTTTCATTGTAATTATACCATGATTGCAAGACCCAAAATGCTTAATATACTTTTCCCCCATGTCATCAGAATTGTTCTTATTTTCTTTCTTTTTGGCACTCAACTGAGGCATTTTAATCTTTTGGGTAAGAAAGGATTTACTTAGAAATTAAAACTGAATTGGCCATTTGGAATATTTGGTTCTCCTATAATACATACTGTCTTAATGTTCAAATAAAAACTTTTCACAGGTGAAGTATTAATAAAAATACACTTCCTTAAATTAAGAAACACCACAGAACATCCAACTTAACAGAAAGTAGTTCACATTTGCTGATGAGCTGTCGTCTTAGCAATGTTTTAAATTTTTAAAATGTACAGGGAATTTCACGTGAGTGAAGACACATGAAGCATCAACTCTTTTGGTTTCACGGCTTAGCCTGTAACGCACAGCTTGCAACAAGGGCTTGGGAAGTCAGCTCAGTGAGAACCAAACTGAGTGGTTCACACTGATGCTGTTCGTTTACTCCCACCTCCACCCCCCCTTCAAGTTTCAAAACTGAGTTATAGTTTTCTGTTATAACAGATACTGGGGAAAATTAGCTCCAAAATGTAGGTGGGCAGTTTTTCTCTAGTTGGAAGACCCCTTTGCTGGCCTAGAAGTTGGTATGGGCAAGGGAGTCAACGCCACAGAATCTCCAAACCCTATGGACTGGCCTTGAGATGGTCCACACTGTCAGTCTGGCTCCAGCCATTCAACATTCACCTTCATATCCACTGGCAACATAAAAATCCATTTCCACGAGTAATAAAAGTATTTCCCATACAGGTGGCAGTTCATCCGTCATTACCATCATACAAATTTCATCAAAAACTCTCAAAAAATAGACTGAGAAATGAAGGAGGCACTAAATGTGTTGAAATTCACCTTTCAAAAAAGCAGCATGACTGTGAAGGAAGGCCACCTTGGCTAATAACCTGTGGCAGTGCTTTAAAATGATGTAAAACTAAATAAAGACACAAGGTTGATAATCACCAAGTTACATATGAAAGTCTGGCTACTCCAACCTTTTTTTTTCAAGTGTGTTAAAAAACAACAACACAAAACCAAACTGCCTTTCAGACCCCTGAGTGAATTCCCAAAGAAGACAGCATGCTTTTAACTCTGTTCTAAGAAGGCAGAGTCAAAGGCACAAGTTACCAACATCATCTTCAACAAAACAAAAACGATGTAAACATCTACAAAGTTTAAGGTAAAAGCAGTCTTGTAAACAGTAACTGCAGATGATAATGTTATTGTAAAATCACAGTTTATCAATGTCCTTCAAACTGATCAGAGGTTCCAGGCTCGGAGCTGTACAGGATTAATAATTGCTGCAGCAGGTTCCAGGCAGTTTTCAGTCCCGTATAAATTTCCTTGTCAGTAGGTAGACTGTTGGTTTCTTTTATTCATTCTAGATACTCTGAATGTTATTCATTTCCCACTTTTGAGTCATTTTACCAGAGTCACAACTGGAGAGGAACACTTGATGCAGGACCTCTGAGCGATCCAAGCACTTTCCTGAAGGAGTATGGGTAAATCTATGCAGGTTCTGGAAAACAGCAAGAAAAGTAAGTTTTAAATTTAGGCTCTTTGATGTCACTCAAATTAGAAGCCATCACTTGGCTTTCCTAGGAGTTAATTCAAGCAAACTGCACAGGTTTATACCAGCACACATTAGACTTCGAATGCCAATATTCTAAGTCCTTTTATTGTTATGGTACAGTATGTTGCTGGTATGTCGAATTCAATAAAAACAAGTTCATCTCTTCCCCTCCAAGCTTACACTTCGGATTCCTCTTCTGGTTAAAGATAATACCAGCTTTCCAGTCTTAGGGAAATTGTGCACGGTCCTCATTCACTCTCATTACACTGATAGTTGCAGGCTCTGGTTTGTATTTCTTCCTCTTTCTACTGACGATGCTCTAATATGGCCTGTGGCTTTTCAAAGACAGGTCTTCAGGCTGCCCAAAATGGGGAATGCTTGGCCAAAATTATTTTCAAGACACAAAGGAATTAATTTAGTGCCATTTTCACTGTATTGACATTTGTACTGATGGAACAATACAAATTCATCGAAGACGATGAAGCCACTGGAGCCTTAGCATCAGATGAGCAGCGACAGCAAATGAATAGTCCTACAATTCACTGCCATGTACTCAGCTGAGAAAGGTAACATAACACTTTCAAGGATGCCCATGATGAAGCTTTTAAAGTTTACTGATTTTTATTTAATCTTGACCCTTGTCTATATTTTTTATTTTGTTATTGTTTTTATTTTATGTGTATGAGTATATTGTCTGCATGTGTGTAAGTGCACCTGTGTCGGATCCTCTGGAACTGGAGTTATGGATGGTGGTTACCTGCCATGTGAGTGCTGGGAATTGAACCTGAGTTTAAACCCTAGAACCTGGGGAGCAGTCAGTGCTCTTAACCACTGAGTCATCTCTCCAGCCCCTGATCCTCCTCCATACTTTTAAGAAACTCTATGAGATAAACATGGGAAATATAGATCAAGTACTTCCACACAGTGGAGTATAATGGTATCTTGAAGGCACCTGAGATGTATAAACTACTTACTTGTTTTCACAGAAGGTCCTTTTTACTTGAAAGAACAATTCAATAAACTATGACTATTCAAACTTGGGTAATGCCTGCCACTCTAAGGAAAAAACAAAACAAAACAAAGAAAACAACCTGATAGTAGTTGTTAACTATAGAGAATTTTTGGAAAACTTTCCACCACTGTGGAAACTTGACATAATATAACTATTTTCTGATGAAATGAGTGTCATATTTATGACTTTTTGGCATTGTATGATGAAATATGTCAATTTTCTTTTTATTTATTTATTATTTTTATTTTATGTGTATGAGTGTATTGCTTGCATGTAGGTAAGTGCACCCATGTCGTGCAATGCCTGCGGAGGTCAGAAGAGGCTTTTGGATCCCCTGGACTGGAGTTATGGACAGTTGTTAGCTGCCATGTGGGTGCTGGGATTTGAACCCAGGTCTTCTGCAAGAACAATCAGTGTTCTTAACCTCTGAGCCATCTCTAGCAATCAGTGTATGATGTTATAAAAGTTCATGTGGATTAAAAAGGTCAATAAAAAATTATAAGCCAGGCTGGTGAGATGGCTTGGTGAATAAAGGCACTTGCAGCCAAGCCTGATGACCTGAATTTAAACCCCAGAACCTGCATTGTGGAAGGAGCAAACTGACTCCAACAAGTTGTCTTCTGACCTCCACACATGTGCTGTGACATATGCATGCCCTTTCAACAACAACAAAATGTAAAATTTAAAGTGTTCGAGGGACCACTGGGTTCTAATGATTAAAGTACATGTCATATTGGGATTCAGATTCTGCTTTGAAAATACCTTTTATGAAAGTATCATTGAGTTGCAGTATATGATCAAAGAATAGTCAAAATATTCTGAAAAGGGGGCATTAAACCACCACTCCCTACCGACTCATGTTTATGTGAGGCTAGATTTTCCTCACATATATCAACTAAAACAACCAACTATCAGATAGAATGTAGAAGCTTGTTAATTCAGATGTGTATATAAGCCAGGCATAAAGGCGTTTCTGAAACTGCAGAGCAATGAACGCTATACTATTTTTAATGGGAAAATAAAATTTCTCATTTAAAATATAATATTTATATTAACATGTACTAAGGTTACTAGTATTAGTTCAATATGACTTAAAACATAAAAACTTAACAAATTTTTCTAATTTCATTTCAAATTCCAGAAATATTTTTAGTGATAACCTACATGAAGGCTGTTTGGGAAGTTTCCTTTTATTGTTGTTTAGAAACAGTCTCAATATTGTAGCACAGGCTGGCCTCAAATTTACAATCCTGCTCAACTTCGGAAGTTTTGGGATTATAAGCTTGTACAACCATACTGGGTAAGGTTCAATAATTTTTAGGTCTAAGGAATTCGGAGGCAGAAAATCTGAGCACTGCTCGAGCTGATCTTGCTTCATCAGTCTGTGTTTCACAGTGCTTTAGAACTATTTTCCTAAAAGTATCCATTGTTTCCTATGGCTACCTTCCCAAAATGTCAATCCTTCCCCCAAACTTACAAAATGATGCTAGTGTTCTTTCCTACCTAGTACAATGTAGGGAAACCCTAAATGTAATTCTCAGAATTGTCTACATATTTTCCATGCTTTATCATTGTTCATCTAGTTTTCTTCTATGAAGCTCATTGGAAATAATTACTTAATGGCTGGAGAGATGTACTGCTATTCCAGAGGACCCGGGTTCAATTCCCAGCATCATTATCTGGGGGCTTACGACCGCTTGTAACTGAAGGGGATCTGATGCCCTCTTCTGGCTTCTAAGGGCACCGAACTCACATGCACACACCTACACATACACATAATTAAAAATAAAACCTTTTAAAAAGAATTACTTATATTATGGCGTTAAAGAGATGGCTCAGCAGTTAAGAGCACTGGCTGCTCTTGCAGAGGACCTGGATTTGGTTCCTAGCACCCACATGGCAGCTGATAACTGTCCATAACTCCAATTCCAGGGGAATCTGACTCCCTCTTCTGATCTCCATGGGCACAGCATGACATGGGTGCACTTACATACATGCAGGCAATATACTCATACACATAAAATAAAAATAATAAAAAATTTTTTAAAAAAGAATTACTTATATTAATCTTTTTTCCTTTTTGATTATTTTTAATTCTGCATTCTTCTCTACTGTTATATTATTGTGTGCTTTAGATATTTTCCAAACTCCCGTGTAATCTGTCACATCATTACGCCCTAGTAACATGATGTACAGACACATATCCAAAGCTGTATCCTTTAAAAATTTTATCTGAAACATGTATGTTCTATTTTCTTTACCCTATTACATTTGGGGGTTGGTGCCGAGGATTAAATTTATTGCCATGCTGTACCTCTGAGCTATTTCCCTATCATATCTGTTCTTTGGAGACAGGGTCTCACTATGTAGCCCAGGCTAGCCTTAAATTCATAATCCTTCTGCCTCCAGAATGCTATCCATGACTTCTTGATGTAGTTTTCGGTCCGTTAGACTTCTTTTATACTTTTCAAATTGTTGTTCTCAGTAATCTCTACCATTTACTTCTTTTTTGTGTGTATGGAAAAAAAAAAAGCTTTATTTTTCAGTGTTTTTTAATATTCTTCCTAACTTGTTATTTAAAAAAAAAAAAATTAAGACTCACAAGAGTCTTTACTCATTAAGTAAAGGTGCTTGTCTCAAAGCCTGATGATCTGAGGTCAATTCCTGTAATCCACATAAGGTGGAAGGAGAGATCAACTCCACAGAGTTGTCCTCTGACCTCCACACTCATGCAATGGGGTATGGGCAACCCCTCCCAATCATACCACACACAATAATAAATAAATAAATAAATAAATAAATAAATAAAATCAGCAACTTCCATGTTCACCACTTCTCAGTACTTATTCATGAAAGATGGTAACTGGGAATATTGGACTGGGTCACAGTATCCTTACTACAGGATGGACAAGTGCGTTCATGACAGAGGGGTGGAGAAGCAATTAGATGGATAAAGCTTACAATTGCTGAGTCTTTTCAGTTTGAAAAAGCCCAATGTTTTGTTCCATAACAAAATGATTTGCTTTTATCCAAATCTAGGCTTTGAAAATTACACATCAATCTATTAATAAGCTTAAATTGTTCTAGAAAACTTTAAATATGCACAGCTGGAATACATAAGTCAGCCAAACAGCTAGCAGGTCATGAGGAGAAACTTGACCTTTACATCAAGTAAATGGCTACCTTTGTCCTGTTGTATTTAGGAAACAGGATGAGGACACTGAAGGCCCGGTGTCCAAGTTTTGTTTGTTTGTCTCTGTTGCCACCTGCTGGACACCCTGAATCCACCACTTTTGAAAAACAGTATTTATATTTTGCTGAAACTTTTGGATTTTTAAAATTGGTTTCAGATCCTAGAACAATGGTGATGATTGTCCTCTAGAACCTGGCTTTCCTGAATTTCCTGAAATTAGCACTGAATCTTCATGCACATCACTGTGACCTCATTACATACTAATATCACACCAGAGAACAAAAGTGATGCCTGATTATAGAATGATGCTTCACCCAGTGATCAGGTAAACCTGTACAGATGACTAAATTGGGAAAATTCAGATAAAGAACATGTATGTTTCAAGATTTAATCACTGTAATTCCACATGCTGCGTGCTACTAAAAATGCAACAGGAGCTGAAACACAGAATACCTTCAAGTACTGCCATTCCTTAAATTCATTTAGGTTACAGTGTGTAATCATAATTTTTGATCCATCAGACCCTTTCGTCAAACACTGATCATACTGCATGAGTTGGTTTGCTTCATTGATTCGGAAAAGCTATTAAGAAAATAAACAAGAAAATAACAGATATAACTTTCCTGCTGATACATATTTTACAAAAAGAAAGAAATTTAACTTTATAATGAAACTGAATAACTAACTTATTGTTCTAAAATTTTTCTACATGTTTGGAACTGTTAGTCCATAGACAAGAACTATATTTATTTTGAAATTAGTGAAGACCTCTGTTGATACTTAATCATAATTAAGTTCTTTATTCTTTAGCGTCTAATACACAGAATGGGTAATTAACACATTTATTATGTACTGACAATGAGAAAATTAAAAATTTGAAATAGACCTAATAATGTTTCACAATTTAAGCTAGACAAGAAAAATACCAACTGAAGGAAGTAAGAAAATATATGAGTAAAATATACATTACTAGCAATAATACCATAGCTTATTAGGAAAAGTTGTGGATTATTAAACTGCATTTGCAAAAACACTTAGGGAGTTAGGCTTACATTGTAATGATTAATATGTGTTCCTGTAGGAATATATTTTTATTCCCAATATACAGAGATCATTTCTACATTCTAATTGCTTACGTGAAAACCAATGCTGGCATTATTTTCTATTTAAGTGAATGTTTTAGCCATCAGTTATTTTGAACAGATTACTTTATCTGAACAAAATTAACAGATAAAAACCAAACTAAACCCTGCCTGTGATCAATAAGTCCGGTGGCTCTCAAGCTGACCAACCCTGAAAGAAGATGACTTACCTGATTCCCTCCCATCCTGTGGCAGGGTCCTAGTTCAACAAAGCCTCCATTTGTTTTCCCCATGCTGTCAATGCAGTATGCAGTTTCAAAGCCTCTGATCTAAAGGTGTGAAGCAAGAACCAACAGGCAGGAAACAGTTTAGTTTTAACAAACCAGCATCACAGTAACAAATGTCAAGGAGAGTACACAATTCACAGACAAGGTCTGGGGCTGCTGTAGTCCTAGGGTTAGTTTTTAAAATTTATTTTCATTGAATTTTTGTATATTTTATACAGAATATCTCAAAGAATCTTAATCATCTTTATACCCCCATCCCCACCAGCATGCTCCCACAGGAACCCGTATACTCTGTCATCTGCATTAAGGCTTAATGTGTCAAGTCAGTGTCCCCAGACGTTTCCCCGTGCAAGTCCATCCACGGAGACCCAGTCAGCCTATCTAGAGTCTGTTGTTTTAGGAAGATCAGCTCTTCCTCACCCTGCAGTAATCAGCTACCAGTGTTTCCTCAGCTAAGATTGAGGTCTGCTGTTCATTTCCCCAGTTCTATGCTGGGTTTTTGTCTGCCTGAATTTATATGGGACTTTTGTATGCTGACACCATGGTCATAGAATCATATGAGCAGGGTCCCAGGAGCGTGTAGGATTCTGTTTCTATATGGTCATGCACTTCCTCCCTGGCTCTTACAATCTTTCCACCCCCTTTTCCAAGATGGACCCTGAGCCATGAGTGGGTGAAGTTTAATATAGGAGTCCTGTCCACGGACCAGCAATCTACAGAATCTTAATCTCTACGTTTTGGCCATTTGTAACCTTCTGTGTCCTGTCCCTCTGTTGCATGAGGGATTTTCATTAATGAGAATTGAGAGATTCATTAGTGTCGTTTTCATTACCCCTGTTCTATGTTCTGTGTGCCTCAGATATAGAGGTTGCATTGTAGATGTGTCGCATTGCCTGGGCAATTCATGGACAATGTCTGTGTGTGACCACTTGTGGTACTTGGTAACAATCTCCGGCAGGTACAAAATAAGCTTCTTTGATGAATGGTGACTGGAATATTTGTCTGTAAATATAAGGATACAGCTACCTAATTGGACTAAAAGCCCACTCAGTGGGAGGAAACTCAAGTGTGGTACTGTAAACATAACCAAATACACATGGCTGGAGAGGTCACAGATCTTAGAGAAAACCGCAAGACAGTCATAAGGTTATTATTGTATTAGCAGTATTTAAGAATTTTTAAGCTTCCTCATGATCTTTGAAACCATGATCTGGAAGTCAACATTGAAATGAACTCATTCCACTGAAGGGCACTGGCCCACAGGGTGCCATAAAATACCACAGAAGAAAAAAAAATACAAGTTTCCACAAGTGCAATTTCAGAATCATGAGAGCTCATGTAAATGAGATGCAGAGAGAGGAAAGCCACATGCCACAGTGGGAACAGACGTGGGTGCCAGATCCCGGGAACAGACGGGATTCCTAAATACTCTCCGTGGGGCATGCAGCACTTTTGGTAGCTGCCTCCAGGGGCCTTAGGACAAAGACTGTGGCACACGGGTCCCCTCAGTGTGGCTTTTCCCTAAGTACGGATAATGGAGGTGAAAAGCACACACAGATTTCCACCCTTAGAACTATTTGGAGCAGTATTGTATATTCATCTCAGTTCCAACTCATTACAGTGTTTGGGTAAGGTGATTTACTCATCAGACACTGACTATATACTATGAGGATATAAATCTTTGAATCTACAAAGATAAGTCAACCCTCCTTAGGACCCTCATAGTCTGTAGGAGGAAGGAAGGGTGTGTTAGTCAGTAGGGGAGATGAGTGTGTGAGGAAGCAGCCTCCCACCCTACCTGGGGGAGTCCAGAAGACTTACCAGGGGGCATCTTTTAAAACAGACAGAGGTTTACTCTGGAATGTTCTTAGGATGCTGAGAGATGAAGTATGAGGGGTAGATTCCAGAATTTGGACAGTTAATTTGAAGATTCCACTCCTGCACGCTTGTGCTTTTCATCTATCAGTTACTTGGAGGGTATTTGCTGTGTGGCAAGCGTGTTGTACTCTCTGATTAACAGTAAGCAAAATAAACACCCCTGCCCCAGTAAACTCACAGTTCTAGCAAAGGAAAGGCAAAAGATAAGTAAAACATAATAGATAAGTTATCTATGTTGTTAGAAAGGAACACGGGCCACAGAAAAAGAAAAACTTGAAAAGCAAGTTAAGTGCGGAAAAGGGCTAGGGAGTCGAGGGTGTTTTAAGATAGAGTTCATTGAGAAGGACGTAAGTCAAGACACAAAGAGGTGTAAGAGTTAGCAATGTCTGCAGGTGTCTGAAGGAAGGCATTCTGGGCAGAAAGAAGAGCAAAGGCAGGAGGTCTGGGGAGGAACAGGACAGCAGGACCAGAATGGAGAGAGCTACGTGGGCAGGTGAGGCCACAGAAAAATGAGGGTCCTGGAGGTCACCAGAAAGGGCATTATCCTCAGACAAGCAAATGGGTTTTCTACTGCATTTCAGAAGAATCACTCTGGTTTCTGGCTGTGTTGAGAACAGGCTGTTGGAGGATCAAGAAGTTGGTTTTGGTGAGTGATGACGGTGCCTTAGACCAGGTAATGAAGGGGCAGATTCTGGAACTGGATGCCAAGTAGGAGGGGAGGACTCAAAGAAGATTCCAAAGTTCTTGGATTGAGCAATGGGCAAAAATAGGCTGGAGAGGAGAGATGGGTTCAGTTTTGGGTGTATGGAGCTTGAAATGCCACTCAAGTGGAGACATCAAGGACAGGTGTACTTGTCTGCCTCTGGGAGAGAGATGTGGGTTCAAGATAGAAATCTCACAGTCATCTAGACAAAGATGAGTTTAAATCCAGGAGACTGGATAAGATCAGGAAGAGAATTCATTCCTCTCATTCAGAAGGCTTTCTGGGAGATTAAAATGTAACAAAGCCTGGTCTGGACCCCCCATCCCCTGCTGCTCCAAACTCATCATCATCATCATCATCATCATCATCATTAGCAGGTTAAACACAGTTTACTGTAACAGGATAGATGAAATACGAGTACAAAAGGAAAAAGGTATTGAAACAAGAAGTACAATGATGACAGTCTCAGTGTCCTCTGTGAGTTTCTCCAAACTTTGGAGAGTCTCATGAACGGACCCTGACCTCTCTCTTTGGTCTATAATTTTCTCCAGAGATGACCTTGTTTGGTCTCATTACACTACCTAGATGCTAATGGTCCCCAGTGTCCATCTCTAGAATGGCCTCTTTTTTGGATTTCAGTTCTGAGTAGCCCAAGGTCTTTCAACAATCAGAACTGACAGTTGTACCTGGCTGTCTACCAGGTACCCGGCATGTGCATAACGCAAGGGATGGAATGCTATTTCTCAGCAGGTCCTCATCACCCCTGCTGTGTTCCCACTCTCAGCTGCTTCCTCATCTGCCTCCACATAAAAATCTAAAACCTAGCTTTCATCCCAGCCCTAATCTTTCACACATCAATCTACCAATCTATTAGTCTTCCCTATCCTGTCCCTACATCCTCGTGACTTACTTCAGATGAAGTACGGATCTTAAATTAGTCCGCTGCCTTCCCCTTCCATTCTTGCCACCTTAGTCCAAGCCAGCAGTATTTCACTAGAACTACCCCACTCATTTCCTAAATGGTATCCTTATTTCTATTCTAAATCCTCCCTGCAGGTGATTAAAGCTGGACCATAAATCAAATCACACTGCCTCTCTGTTTAAAACCCTCCATGGTCTCTCACCATCCCTAGGCTGAAGGCAGTCCTAGGCCAATGCCTGCCATCTTGCCTCCAAATCTCTTCTATTTTGCTAATCAAATGTGCAAAGCATTTCCTAACTCAGAGCCTCTGAATTCACCATTTTCTTTGCTTGTAATATCCCCTCCTGGTTCCCTCATTGGCTGGCTGTTTATCATGTAGATTTCAGATTAAATGTCACCTCCTTAGAGAAGCCTTCCCTACCCTGTCTTTATGTCCTCATAACCGGCATCTCATGCTTATTTCCTTTGTAGGCTTTGGGATCTTCTGCCATGGTCCTTCTTTCCTGGGCTGCTTTGGTCTCTCCCTGCCACTAGAATGAGTGTTCTCTGAGAAAAGGGACTTGCTTACTTGTTTTCTGCCTAGAACAAAGACTGGCACACACTAGGCTTAACCAGTATCTGCTGAATGCGTGCCATGTCTTGAAAGCTGAGGACACGTTTAGTTACCTGTGAAGCAGCAGCATAAGACACAAGGTGACTATAAGCAGAAATGATGCTATACAGGCAAGTCTGAAGAAACAGAAATGACAACACAGACTGATGCCTCTGGCCATTTTGTTTTGTTACATCAACCAGTTCATTGTTTGAGTGCCTTCCTATGTGTTGGGTCCCTGCACTAATTTATTAGGACATAGTGAGTGAGGATTAAGGTCCCAAAACACTTGGGCTGGCTGGGAGATGGGCAGTTTGGGGGTGCTGTGAGAACCTATGGAACAATGACAGATCTGAGTGGCTTTGATGAACTGGGGAAGGAAAAAGAAATACTTTTCAGTATTCATGATCTCCAAGATGAGAACATCAAGTCAAGATGGAAGTGGCCATGAGAAGGAGGCAGAATGATGGGCAGGGACATGGTGGTAACGGAGAAAGGGAGTGCTTTAGGTTGTACAGCACATGTGTAACGGCTGGGAGGGGGCGGGACAGTGGCTGGGTGCTCAGAGCAGCTGTGCTGATTTGGTGGCAGGTTGTGCATGCTGACAGTCTTTACTCAAACCTTCCTGCAAGCCTTCTTTTCTTTTACTCAATCTCGCCACTTCTCCTTGTTTTTCTCAAACAGACTCTGAACATATTTTGAGATCTGAATATTGGCTGATACTTACTTCTCCCCACTCGACATTTTTGGAAGGCAAAGGGTAGTAGGTAGTGATGTCATAAGCTATTTCTTCCATGTACCATTTGAAACTTTTGCAGTTGTGATCTTCTCGAAATTTTTTCAGCTCAGTTATATCCCCATACGGCAATGCCTTTGACTCAGGACGACTTGCATAGAAGTAGTCTTTATATTCATCCCACCAGACTTCTACGACTCTAACGTAATTCTGTGGGAAAGAAAATGAACATTGATATGAAACAAAGATGATTGTAATGGTGCTAATAGCTTATCTTAGACATGTGAAAAATGACTAAAATATAGCCAGCTCATTTCTACAGGATTTCGCATTTAACTAAACAATGAAAACAGGTCAGCTAATGACCTTACTATGTCATTTGCCAAGCATAAAAATGTCATGTATGTACATTCAAATAAAAAGTGACATGCATAGAGTCAGACATCCCTGAGCTGGAAGATCACAGATTCTAAGATTTCGTATTCTATTCTGATAACAGAGGAAGAAGACACTGCCAGGGAGGGATTCTGAGAGCCTGGCTAGACACTGGTGCTCCTTTTCTTCCCATTTCCTTTCTGTTGGAACCACCTTACTGACGTGTATAGGGAAAAAAAAACTTAGAAACCATCATTACAAACAACAACTGTTTAACAAGACACAATTTTGTAGATGACTCTGTGAATCTTTTAAAAACTATTCTATTGTTTTTATTTTATGAGTCTGAATGTATTGCCTGCATGCATGTAAGGTGCACCTTTATCGTGGAATGCCTGTGGAGGTCAGAAAAGGACATCAGATCCTCTGGAACTGGAGTTACAGATGGTTATTAGCCACCATGTGGGTACTGGGACCTGAATCCAGGTCCTCTGCAAGAGCAGCCAGTGCTCTTAATTGCTGAGCCAACTCTCCAGCCTGACTCTGTAAATCTTTTCATGCATATAATAGAACCATTTTACCATGCCCTCAAATTATTTGGACATCTTCCACAGTGGGTTCACATGGAGGAAAAACAACCATAGACTAATGATACAAATTAACACTGTCATAAGTGACAAAAGTGTAACTTGCAGGGTTTTCCAGAATTTATGAGTATGTGCAGGAATATGTGACTGACTCAGTTCAGTGCCTTGGATCTTTTCCATCCTGCACCAGCAAATTTTCTCTAGAAAGAGTTTGAAAGGGGCTAGGGAGATGCTCCGTGTATAAGGCACTTGCTACTAAAGCATGAGGACCAGAGTTCTGATTTCTAGGACCCATCTAAACTGCAGGTGGGAGTGACGGCCTGCCTGTTGCTCAATCATTTTGAAGGAAGGTGAGATGGGATCCCTAGAGCATGTTGGCTAGTTGACTAGCTGTATGTGCAAGTTCTGGGTTCACGTGAGATGTCCTGCATCAGTAAGTAAGGCGGAAAGTGATCAAGGAACACACCTGATGTCAGCTCTGGGCCTCCACATATACCTGCACACATATGCACACACACTGCACACAAGCAAACACGTATGCACACATACACACCACACAGACACATGTAATAGCATAAAAGTCTGAGGTAAGCACCTTTAATTTTTGGTCAGTAAATCTCTGCAGCAACTCTTCAGCCCTGCTATGTGATGACTGTGGCCCAGCTCCAACACAAACTGTCACTAAAGAGGGCTAGATTCATTTTGTGGGCCAAAGTTACTAACCTCTGTTTTAAAACAAGAGTAGGAATAGTTTGTGTTTAAATTTTTTCTAGGCTAAAAGATAATTATCAAAGTGTGAACAGGTCACAAAACAAAGACAAATCTTTAGGAATAAATTTAACAATGGAGGTGAAAGACCTTCATACTGAAAATATTTTTTTAAAGACAAATAAATGGAAATATATCCTGTGTTCATGGATGAGAAGAACTAATATTGGAAGTTCCTCAAGAATATCAGTTCGGGGCAGGAAAAATGGCTTAGCAGTTAAGAGCACTGGCTGCTCTCGGAGAGGAGCTGGGTTTGGTTCCCAGCACTCATATGATAGCTAACAACCACCTGAAACTCAAGTTCCAAGGGATCCAATGCTCTCTCCTGGTCTCTGGGGCACTGCATGACATGGGAACACTTACGTGCATGCAGGCAAAACATACACAGAAAATAAAATTAATCAAAAATGTTTTTTAAAAAAGAATATTAGTTGAGTAGTACTCATGCTACCCAAAGAGATCTACAGAGTCAACATAATCCCTAGCAAAATACCAATTACATCTTTTACAAAAATTGAAAAATCAGAGGCAGATAAGATGGCTCAATGGGTAAAGGCACATCCCTCCAAGCCTGAAAACTTGTGTAAGATCCCTGGAATCCACATGGTGGAACCTACATAGCAAAAGAAGAGAACTGACTTGAGCAAGGTGTTCTCTGACCTCTGCATGTTCATCATGGTCCCTTTGTAGTTCCACCCTCTATTGTCTCCCACTAAAATAAATAAACGGGAAAAAAGAAAAAGCTAAATCTAAAATTCATATGGCCAATGTAATATTGAGCAAAAAGAACAAAGCCAGGGGTATGATATCAATTGATTTCAAAATCTATTACAAAGAATGGTATAGGCAATAAAAACATATATACAGATGAATGGAGCAGAATGGCCCAGACATGAAGGCAGGCATGTAGGACTGATTTTTCACCAAAGGTACCGAGAACACACAATGAGGAAAGGAGTCTGTTCAGTGACTGGGGTTGAGGAAATTGGATGTTCACATACAGAAGAATAAAACGACGTTCTTCTCAAGGATATATGGAAATCAACCAAAACAGATTAAAGACTTAAATGTGGGACCTGAAAATAAAACTCTTAGAAGAAAATGCAAGAAAAGTTTAATGACATTAGTCTATGCAAAGATTTTTTTGCAAAGGCAATAAAAGAATACAGAAATGAGATTACAGCAAACTCAAAAGCTGCACAGCAAAGAAGACAGCAGGGTGAAGAGATACTTTCTGGAATGAGAGATTACATCTGCAAATCTTACATCTGGTAAAGAGTTAATAACTAAAATATATGATGAACTCAAAACAACTCAATAGTAGGGGCACAAATAATATGATTTTTTAAATGGGCAAATGACTTGAACACATATTTCTCAGGAAGATAAATGGTTAATATGTGTGTGCAAAGATGCTCAGTATCACTAACCATCTGGGAACCTCAAGTTAAAACCATAATGTGATACTGTGTCACATATGCTAGAACAGTTATTATGAAAGAGATAAAAGATAACAGGAGTTTGTGACGATGTACATAAACTAATCCTTGCATACTCCTGGTGGGACTATACGTTAATACAACTGTATGGAAAACAGTGAAGTTACTCAAAAAATTAAAAGTGAGTGCAGCTCTGCCCACTACGGTGCTATCTGCTGTGAGGACTTAGCTTCTGTTTTCACCCAGAGTAAAACCCTCTGGTAAATCAACCTGCTGGAGAACACCTTGGACCACAGTGGAGTGACCCTGAGTGAGACCCTGAAACAGCCGAAGTGTAACATGAGTGTACTTGGGCTGTGAATAACTGATTTTGATGAGAAAACCCAAGCATTTCTGATCGCTGAGAAAGAGAGAAGTTTCTACCTGACAATTCTAAACAGTGTGTCAGAGAAACAGAAAACTAGTGTTTCTAGGCATATTTGGACCCCAAACATGTACAAAGGAAAGGGAGTGGGCCTTTACTTTTGGCCCATCTGTGTGTAAGAATTATAGATCACTGACACTAATGAAATATGATTTCTCTGGCACCCAGTTTAGATGTGTGGCCTAAGATGGATGGGGTTTTTTACTTGCTAATAGAGGATATGAAGTTGGGGGCAGGGGTTGTAAGGTGAGGGTGGAGATGGAGGAGGGTGCTGATCAAAATCATTGTATGAAATTCTTGAATTGATAACATTTTTTTAAATGTTAAAAAAACAACCACTGTGTTGTCTAGCAGTCTCACTATTGGGTATATTCCTTGAGGAAGCGGAATCAGCCCACAAATGGGATTTCTGCACTCCCATGCAGGATTTTTAAGCATTATTCATGATGACCAATATTTGGAATTAATCCAAGTATCCATCAACTGATGAATGGATAAAGAAAAAATGTGATATACACATAAAGATAAATAAGGAAATTCTATCTTTTCTTTTTTCTTTTTGTCTTTTCTGAGACAGGGTCTCCCTGTAGCCCCAGCTGTCCTCGAACTCAAACAGATCTGCCTGCCTCTGCTTCCCGAGTGCTGGGACTAAAGGTGTGCGCCACCACACCCGACTGGAAATTCTATTATTTGTAACAACACATAAGATATTATGTTAAGTGAAATAAGCCTGGCACAGAAGGAGAAAACACATGGGTTCAATCATAGGTGGAATGTAAAAAGTCAAATTTATAGAAACAGTGAAATGGTGGCTACCAGAGGTTGAGAGGAATTGGGAGAGGTTTGGGTAAAGGACAGAATTTCTTTTACAGGAGGAACAAGTTCTAGAGATCTCTTGTACATCATAGTTACTATATATAGTTAATAACAAAAAACTGATTAGCATGTTATATAGTATACGTTAACTAGTTTTTAAACTATCCCACAATGTGCGTATATCAAAGGATTGTTTTATATCATAAATATACACAATCTCTACTTGTCAAAACATATATGAAAAATAGGGTAAAATGAATAATATTAAGAAATACGGAAACATTTCATGAATAAGCCTAGTCTTGGCTAAATTAGGTGAGAGCCAGCATGCTTGCTTGAGATTTACCCTGGTCAATGAGCTGACAGTGGTTATGTGAATACTGTAATGTGGTGCATAAATGTCAACTCTCTTTTCTTTCTCTTTTTAACAAAAAACTCACCTTAAGAGTTGGAGAAGACCCAACATAAAGGGGTGGAGGATTTCCTTGCCAGCCCTCAAGACGGTAGATGTGTCCAACTCGAGAACAAGGGACAAACAATAATTTGCCACCACACTGCCATATCTAGCAAGGAAAAACTTATATTGTGAAAGTAATTTCAAAGGCAAAATAAATTACAATGGAAATTTTGTCCTGATAATGTAATAACTTAAATTAGATACAATATCCACATGGAATTCTATGTTAAACAAATTCTAAAATATTTGATTACTTTAGAAACATATAATAACAAGGTAGGCAATGGTAATATAATAAGTTACTACTACTGACTGTCCTGTGTACTTGAGACCCAGCAGCCTTTTCTCAATATAATCTTGCAAAATAAATGTCAAGTCTTCATTCCTAACATTATTTGTCATTTCTGATGCTAATCTATTTCCTACCTGGGTGATTATAATAATACTCTACTAAATGGCTTCCTCACCTGCATTGCCTGGCTACTTAGTCTGTTCTTATTTATAGCAAGAGATTACTGTGGCTTTGGGTCATGCTACTCCTTTGCATCGTGTGTTTGGTGGCTTAGCCGGAAGCTTAGCAAAGAAGGGAAAACTCTCTTAACTCAGCATTAAAGACTCTTCAGTTTGGTCCTAACTGGACTTGTCTACTTTATCATCTTAGATATCTTCTTTATTGTTGCTTCCCGATTCTAGCAAACTTCCCCTTATTTGTTTAGCAGATGCACCCTTCACATTCACAACTTTGCATCTTTCTTATTCTACTTGCTTAAGAGTCTCTCTCCCCTCCCTTTATCTCTGTTTATTGAGATCATGGGTC